AAAAAAGAAATGTACTTGAGATAAACATTGATAGGAACTTCATGATGACACAGGATCCTAAGCAGTAACCTATAGAACCCCTTCCCATATACACATTCATACACATTTAAGTGTCATTCTCTTATGCTCTCTTTATTTGAATATCACTGAGAATACAGAAGAAACCTTGAGTTGCGTTTTCATCCTTTATTAAGTTGTCTGCCAGAATGACTAAAAGGCTGCTGTAGCTTCTGCACCTGGCATAGGTGCTCAATAGATAAATACTATTGAAGGCTTGAATCTGTTAATAAAGATGCATTTCCCTGAGAACATTATCGTAATTTTCATAATGACTGAGCATGGTCTTTGACAAGAAGGACCCTCTAATTATTTGCATACTTTACCTATGGTGTTCTAGTATAAGGAGTAAAAAGGGATTACTTGGACATTAAAATGGAGCCCGTAGACCAGCAGCATCAGGATCACCTGATACCTTACTAGAAATGCAAATATTGAGTTTCAGTCCTGATCTTCTGAATCAGAATCTGCGTTCTAAAAAGATCTCTAGCATCTTACAGTTGGAGAAGATTGTCTTGTGGCAATTTATACATTTATATTAATGCATGTAAAGCCTCAGGCGTATGTGATGTTGATTTGTAAATACATAGGTAAAAGTATACATCCTAGTCAAACATTTACTGTGCACCTACTATATATAGACCATCAAGCTAGGTGCAGGATTTGCAGGTGAACAAGGCATACATATGGTCAAGATGATGTCTGTAATCTTTTATTGTTGGGTGGTTCCACTATCATGGAGAGATAAAATAACAAAAGGCTGTGTTCTTCATAATTGGTCAGAAATTTGCTTTTATGTCCCTAGGAATCATATGCATTTAGATAACATAGTCACTGATGTCTGAGCAAGAATTTAAGTTTTAACTTGAGAGAGGCAGAATTTTATTGCATAAGGATATATGCTACATTTTTGGTTAATTAGAAAACCTGGAATAGTTTTTAATTTCCAACAAGTTGTTTTGCAATCCTTTCTTTTTAAAGGTGTTTTTGTCAATATTATCCTTAAATGACAGGTATGTGGTATTAGTTATAAAGTAAGTGAAAAGGTACAGTATATCTGGAGTCTATAATATGGACACCACTTGGTGGACATGACCACATTTTGTGTTTATAGTGGTATCCAAATTCCAAATAAGACAAAATATCTTGTACATATAATAATGGCTTATTTGTCCATTAAAACACCTTTTCAATATAGAATTTGTCATGTTCTGGGTAGGATATTAATGTGTAGGACTGAGAATTTGAAGCTTAATGGAAGGAAGGAAACAGAAGGCATTAGATGAGAAAGAATGACTAATGAAGGCTTAAGTTTGATGGCAGTGAGTGAGCCTAAAAGGCAGTGTGATAAGGCTGAGTGAACTTGTGGGTGTGGAAGACAAAAGAAAGATAAGTAAACTCATAATGATAACAAACACAGCTACTGCTTTGGGAGTGTCCTAATACCCTGTCTTTTCTGCGGAACTCCCATGTCCTCTGTAGGAGGGAGCCAGGAGAAACCAGACTTGCCTGGTTAAGGCTGTTTGCCCCCGAGTCAATCTGATTTTCCCGAGAATTTAGAATTTCAAGTAGGAAATGCTAGTCTCAGTGTAGGCTGGTCCTTGAGCTGGGAACATGTATACCCTAGAGCTGTGAGGCATTTGTGTACTTGAAGAAGCAATGCAAGCTGATTTGCTTAAAAGAAAGTGTGAACAAGGAAGGAAGGACTAGTTGGTTAACAGGGAGATAATCCTGAGCCAGTGGTGCTGAAGGTTTTCCTCATCATCCTCCTAATCCCCAGAAACCTGGCTTGGCTTCTTCCTTTGAGTTCAAAAGACACTCCCTCTCTTAGTGGATATGCCCATTTGTGCATAATTCTCTCTAGTGTGTTTCTGTTTCTTGTAACTGTAGGAATGTGACAGCCTAGCCCTGATTGGAATTAGTGTACCTCCTCCCCGCTGTTCAGTTTCTCTTGGATCTCTATGATTCTTAGAGATAAAAGACTGAGCCATGTCCCTGTTCCTGTCACTGTGGTGTTAAGCTGAAAATAGGCTGGGAAAAGTGAGGGCAAGGAAAGAACAGCAGAAAGAAATATTTATCCTATTTCTCTTAATTTCTGTGGGTAGTCCATTCAGCAGATTTAAAATGTTTCTTCTGTACTAAACACCATGAATATGGTGGTTAAATGTGGCAGATGATTCCTGTCTTCATGGTGGGGAAGGCAAACCTAAAATAAGTACCACCTATGATTCATGGTGAGTGTTAATACATGGGAAGTAGGCATAATGAAAACATGGTCACAAAAATTTCATTTTAAACCCCTGCTGTCTTT